TGACTTAATGTCTTTCTGACATGTTGCGCCATCTTTGTATTCTCTCGTCAATGAATTCTGCATTTTTTATCCTTTCATTTGATGTGCTGTACGCGAAGATTCGATTATTATCAGCGAATATACAACTTAGTTCCCTTCTGACAGTTGCTCCATTTTTTTTTTTTCTAATAACTCATTCATTTCCACAAATCCTCACACATTTTCTACCAAGCCACCACCTCACACGCTGACTACGTCACTTTCATAAATACTTGCGCCTCAAAACACTTTGATAGTGTTTTATCACTATTATTATTATTTTTCGACCCACATTCCCCAGTTCAATATCATCTGACACAATTATTCGACCGATATTTGATTCCTCCATTCTGATTGGCTGACCGACACCATTCTGTAACTCTAGTTGAGTTTTAATGTTTTATCACTATTATTATTATTATTATTCGACCCACATTCTTCAGTTCAAATTCATCTAACACCATCATTCTACTGATATTTGATTTCTCCATTCTGATCGGCTGACGACACCACTCTGTAACACAAGTTAGGCTGATTGTTCCACAAGGTTCGGTTCGGGAGTCTGAAAATTCGCAAAACGAACCTTCATACGACAAAGCGTGGACTTTAGTCATCTCCTGCTGATGCTTACTTGGTTAGCGAAACGCGTTAAGTGATGAATGACTGTCATATTGAAATAGGAAAAAAAACGACAATAACAACATTCGCAGTTACCTTCATTATCTTACGTTGGTGTAGAGGCTAAGGACTATGTCTACCGCGCGGACGAACCAGGTTCGAATCTCATAACTTTTTTTAATAAAAATCACGTGACTGGAACGTGACAAGGGGGCTGAGGGGTGAGGAAGAGTCGTAAGGGGGCTGAGGGGTGAGGAAGAGTCGCAAGGGGGCCTGAGCGGTGATGTGGAGTACTAAGGGGGCAAAGGGCGGAGTACTAAGGGAGCTGATAGGTTAGGTGGAGTACCAAAAGGGCCGAGGGGAGGAGTTCCACGCTTAAATCGCTACGATACTCGTTTCATCCTGCGTCGATTTCGATGACGTTTCCGCCACTCCCAAGTGGTCCAGAATCGGTGTTGTTCATCTACTAATATCGAACTCAAAATTGAACAAATCTTTCCGCATGATCAAAATAAATTGCTACTTTTGAAAGCTATCCAAGCTGACACTACTATTTTCATACCGTTCAGAACATGAGAAATTCATATGCTGCCTTCTTACACAAGGTGCAAAAAATGAAATATGGGCCGTCACGACTTCCTCGTTCCTCGAAAGCCCTCGCTATGTGATTGTATGTTTCCAAAAAAATCGTGATTACACTGAAGTCAACAATGATCCAACAATATTCAATCATTTGAATATCACCAATATAACGCTCTCTAAACAGTGAGAATTACCCCAAGGAAAATATGCATTTGAGTTTTGCAAAGCAAACTTATTTCAACTACTCGCAATTCGGTCTCAGCTACAAAATGACTAATCAACATAATCCTCTTCTCACTTCCACCGTCTTTACGGACAAAGCTCTCTTTGTCATCGATTGTTCCAGAAGGGATGAGAGCATCAAAAGTTCCAGTATTGATGTAAAACTTGAAATCGATGTATCCGAGGGATTTTCTCAAAATACTAGAGCCTATTGCATCATTGTCACGACATTGTCATAGAACACCTACCACTCAGCGAAATTATTAAAAAATGGAACTGAACATGTGATTTTGCTTCAGTATCAATCGATGAGTCAACATGAGAATATCTGTTGTAGATATTCTAGACTTCACCGTCGAGCAAAAATTGTATTCGAAAGAAATAGTCATTAGGATTGAAATTCAATGTCCTAGTAACTTTTTACTGCTGCCAAACACACCATTTTCCTGTTTGAGTAAAGAAGATCGCCGTACCGATTATTATTTGAAGCGAAACATTCACGGATTGAGGTATTCCTTTGGCTTTGTGGAATATAATCAGTTGGATGCCATCCTCATGAAAAATCTACAAGGTGTCGATGTCATTTATGTGCGAGGACATCAAAAACATGACTATCTAACTGAAAAATTTCACGAGTTGAATATACCTGCACGCGTTGTGAATTCGGAGGGCTATGACAACACAACATGGATGGTTCCCACATTCGACAACAACAAAGGGGTCTAACCCTGTATGCGCATCACATTCGCAACCAAAATGAAAATGTATAATAAATTTCTATTCAAAATAATTTCTTCTTGTTTATCTAACCCCCATCTATCTATCTAATCTCTCTATCTAACCATGTAAAACGGTCGAAAACGCACGCAAAACGGTCGAAAACGCACGAAAAACAATAGAAAACGCACGCAAACGGTCGAAGCATCCGAAGGATTTCCACAAAATAGTAGAGCCAATTGCATCATTGTGCACGACAGTCATAGAATACCTCCCACTCAGCGAAATTATTAAAAAATGGAACTGATACTGATTTTGCTTCAGTATCAATCGATGAGTCAACATGAGAATATCTGTTGTAGATATTCTAGACTTCACCGTCGAGCAAAAATTGTATTCGAAAGAAATAGTCATTAGGATTGAAATTCAATGTCCTAGTAACTTTTTACTGCTGCCAAACACACCATTTTCCTGTTTGAGTAAAGAAGATCGCCGTACCGACTATTACTTGAAGCGAAACATTCACGGATTGAGGTATTCCTTTGGCTTTGTGGAATATAATCGATTAGATGCCATCCTCATGAAAAATCTACAAGGTGTCGATATCATTTATGTGCGAGAACATCAAAAACATGACTATCTAACTGAAAAATTTCACGAGTTGAATATACCTACACGCGTTGTGAATTTGGAGGGCTATGACAATACACCATGGATGGTACCCATATTCGACAAAAACAAAAGGGTGTCTCACCCTGTATGCATCATATTCGCAACCGAACCGACTACAATTGCAGTCTCCGAAACGTGGATATTTTATACAAATGGCTTTGTGATGTTACCAAAATAAAAATGTACAATAAATTTCAATTCAAAATCATTTCTTCTGTTTTACCTAACCTCACTGATAAGATACCCTTAACAAAAACGGAAAACGACCACGAGAAAAAACGACAATAACGATGAAACGATAACGAATAAACGCACACAAAACGGTTGAAACGCACGTAAAATGGTTGAAACCGGCAACGGTACATTGTCCCATAAACAACGATTTATTTTACAATCGGCAACACCGAACCTGCCATACTGGTATTGGCGGCGTATAACGTCGATACCATCTCCATCTCCCTTTGCTTCGATTACGTCACACGTGTCTCTCACTCTTGCTCATACACACCTTTATATGAAATATTAATTATTTTCCAAAACTAAGTATATTTTCCTATCTTCTACAAGAAAATGACAATTACAATTTTCCTAACATTCTACGAAAATGAAAAAATGCAGTCAAGTATAATAAATGAGTCATTTCGGTCCCGACAAAACGAACGCTATAAATACCAACCATTCGCAATTACTTTCTATAGTCCACGTTGGTGTCGAGGCTAAGGACAACGTCTACTACGCTGACGACCCGGGTTCAAATCTCATATCGATAAACTTTTTTTAATTAGGACCACGTGACAAGAGGGCCCGAGGGGCTGAGTCTCAAGGGGGCCAAGGGGCGAAGTACTAAGAGGCCGAGGGGCGGAGTACTAAGAGGCCGAGGGGCGTAGTACTAAGAGGCCCAGGGGCGGAGTACTAATGGGGCCAAGATATGAGGCAGAGTACTATGGAGGCCAAAGGGGCGGGGTTCCACGATCTTTGAATCACTCCGATACTCATTCCATCCTGCGTCATTGACGTCACACGTTTCCCCCACTCCTATTTGAACCAGAAATTGCAAAAAGTTTAGCTCCATAAGAAAATACATGTTATTTTGGGCTAGTACATTCATTGTTCATCTACTATTCAACTAAATAAAAATTTCCAATATCTATGAACGGTTATTTCTTCAAAGTGACACGTAATGAGATGAAGATGCGCTTATCTTCACATAATTTTTCGTGACACGTTACATTGCAAATCATATGGGTATTTGAAAAAATGGGTCTTCAAAAATGTGTGTTTTTCGCTGCGGTTAAAGTGACCAAAATTACCATTTTAGCGTGTTATATTTTGCGAAATGTCAAGAAATCATCAGGATATGGATAAGACGTTTCCTCAGAATCATCCATAGATTCACCTCTTCAAATATGTACATACAATTTTGGAACATACTGTACTTACTCCAGTAACGTTGCTGCATAGTTTCAAGACATTCTAAACTCAAAATATTGCAGTATGCATTGACTAGTAGAGTTGAATCCCCTCTACTCATCCAGTTTTGTTTTGAAATAGTTCAAGACTGCCTCGAACCAACCAGAAGTTTTCGTAAGACTTGTTCACAATAGGGAAGATGGAGGACTTACCTTTCAAACTTGAGTGAAACCAATAATCGTTTTTCATCAGCTGTGAAACTTCTAACAATTTAGCTTCTAATTTCATCTTACAACACCACCTACGAGAAACTTCCTATCCATAGAGAAAAAAATAAATAAAACAGCCATTATATCAATTATTGCAGTTTTTATTTGTAGAAACGTTAAAAAACCAATTAATAAAGAAATTTCTGATATGAAACATTATATTTCTCAAGTAAATATAAATTACATAAATATAATTATCAACAAATAAACACCTAATCAGCTCGTGAATATCAATTTTTCGAAATGTATACATTCATTGGCTTAAGTAAAGTATGCAAAATTACAGATAGATCATTTTTATTTTTCCTGTAAAAATACAAATAAATAACAAAACAATATCAGTTTTTCTAGATTTTTTTCAAGTTCCAGAATAAAATCATTACTCGAGGGTTCCGAATCAGAATACTAAAAAGTATAAAAAGGAAATCTCAAGAAAAAAGTAACAACATGGTCGATATGAAAACATAGATATTTTCAATTGTTTATTTAGTAGCTCTTCAATTTTTAAAGATTCAAAATACAATCCTAGATATTTACAATTATACATGCCACGTTTCCACAGTCACAAAACTTTTCTTTTAATTAGTCAAAAATAAATTATTTTTATAACGCCACACTTTTGAATCATGCCAGATAACTGTAAGTGTCCTTCTGTCCTTCGGTCCTTTCTAAATATTCTTTTTCAATTAGAATATCTATACATTTCTGAAAATGAAAAATATCAACTAATCAACAAATACGTTCTCGTTCAAATTTCTTGAAATATATGGATAATGCTAATGTATATATGAAAAAGTTATTTTAATGCTCTGAAGTATTTTTTATATAGAATGTTTCAAATGTTACTTTTATTTTCATCCACTTCAATTGAAATTCAAATTTTATTTATCAATGTCCGTCGTCTATAATTTTTTGGTGCAGCTGCCCCTCGTAAGAGTGAAATTTATTACATTTGATCCTGATAATTGAAGTTTATGATAACTCTATTATTTCCCTAACAGTCAACTCGGGACTTTCTAACATTACGAAACTAAGAACTACAATAAGTATGTTTCAGCTTGTGAATTGTCTTATCTTATGAAGAAGTTGAAAGCCAAAACCTTTCTTTCCCATAGAATAATAATTTCTTTTTAGCCAATCTTAAACTTGGCCAGAGTGAACTTTGTCTGGACCTTTGCAGTTCTAATGAACGAATAATTGGGTCGATGTTTTCAATTTTCAATTTTCACTTGAACAATTTTGTGCTTCTTACCGTAGGCCGAAGAAGCGATGCGCAGATATTTTCAAGGTCATAGACAATAAAAAAATCCTATACCTCTAATTTATTAAATAATATAATACCCATTCAAAAAGGATTCGATTCAGACCTGGGCAGTCTATGAATTGGTAATTTCAGCATGGTAACTCCAAACTTTCTTGGGGCTTTAAATAGATATCTTGCAGCTAGTGCGCCTATTTACTTTCAGAATATTTACAACACCCTCTGTGCTTCACTTGATACGACCCCAAGCTGATACATTGTATGGAATTGTAGAGTCAAATTGTGCATAATATTACATGATTAACACAGACTTGTCCTCAATTTTGAGTTGGTAGATGCAACAGCACTTTAGAGATATTTTTATGAGAATTTCGTTGATAAGATGATTCCACTTATAAGCTTCTGGGTTGGGTCCCAATGGTTGAACTGAAGATACCCATTTGCTGATTTTAAAAATGAACATTGATTATAACCTTCGGAAGAATAACTAAATCTTACAAAAAATGATTTTTTTGTTATTACTGACTAATTTATAGTTATACAATATTGCGAAAGAATACAATAAATTACCTCGAGAATTTGATAAACTATAGTTTTTCAAGAAAGATTACAAGGTTAGGGTTAAATGGATTTTTTGGCTGATCAACAACGTGTCAAACGTGTCAGAGCTATAAATATCTACGTAAGAGCAAACATGGGTCTATTTCATCTGTATGGTCGTAATAAACAAGAAAAAAACTCATCATCCAAGACAACTTTCAGTGATCTGGCGGAAACCCTTCGAGTGAATATTCAAAATTATAGATATAGGTTAGGTTACATTAAAATCAATTTATTTTCTCGCAACAATTGATAAGTTAAAAAAAATGTGTCTGAGCAATTTAGTACCAAAAATCATATTTTGTCAGAAAAATTATTTATCTTTCTGCCTGACAATAAAATTTTCAGGTAGAGATCCGCTGCCACTGATTAAGAAATACCGCGAGGAGCATGCGAGAATATCTAGATATCCGTAGGAGACGAAAAAAAAACTTTTTCTCAAACTATAAAATCTCCAGATAGAAATTTCAAGATAGAAATCTGCTGCCACTGAACAAAAATGCCTTTGGAAGGTCCTTTGCCATTGAACAGAAATTATCATGTGAAAATATTCATGGAACTGCCTTCAATATTTTTTTAATCGCCTCAAAATGATGAGCAGCCACAGTCCGTCGCGTATTTCTGATATGTACCGTTCTTGATGGAATCAAATGTGCCAAGTCACTTGAACACTTCCCGTGAAAGTATCTATAGAAGAGAGACAAATCTCCAGCGTTTCATAAATATTTTCACATACCCTTCCAAACGGCATTTTTCTTGTTCAATGGAGCGGATGTTAACGGCATTTTTTTGTTCAATGACAGCAGATGTCTATCTGGAAAGTTTTTATTTTTTTTTTCAAGTCTTCTACGGCTGTCTAAAAAAAATGAAGGCAGTTTCATTAGTGTTTTCATATGCTTTTTTCAACGGTATTTTTTGTTCAGTGATAGCAAACTACTATCTGGAAAATTTATAGTACGAGTAATTTTTTTTCAAGTTCTACGGCCATCCAAATAATTCTAAGGGCAGTTTTATGAATATTTTCACATTTTTTGTTCAGTGGCACAGCAGACCTCTGTTTGGAAATTTTAGAGTACGAGTATAATTTTTTTTCAAGTGAAGGCACTTCAATAAAAGCATTTGCTTTTTAAACATGACAGATATTACCACCCACCACCCGTCACCTAGTCTATTTCTTAATAATAATATTAACGTTTATTTTCATATACATTGATGCATAGAGTGAAATTGAAAATAAACAATATAATCACAGAACTCAAATATTCATACCATATACTTTATTCGCTTATACCATATATGTATAGAAGAATCTAAACACCCAAATTTCAACGATACTGATTATAGTGCTTAGATTGTGATGTAATTGCTTTGTATATTCTTTTCATAAACTACACCTTACGATTTGATCTCCAGGAACTTCATTTAAAGAAATATATAACGACATTTTTCGCTAACACTGTAGCTTTTTCGAAGTTGATTAAATACTATAAGTTCATTCTGACTCTGATATTTATATACCCTAAGTAATCACAATTGAGACTATCTACTTAGGTACTAACTCGATCAAATTACCTAGAACATATACAACTTCTATATACCTAAGGTACAACTTCAATTATGATTTTTTAAATTGCACATCAATAATACTTCATCAGTTTTTAGGAAAACAAGTTCAATAATGGTGATTTATTTGTTCATTCAAACTCATGAAATGATGACAAAGAAATGGTAAATGATAAGTTATATGAATTATATGATTTACCATGCCACATTGAAGATTCTGTTACTTTATATTCATTCAAGGCTCAGTTGAAAATACATATTACATCACGTACTCTAGGAATTGTCTGAATTTTTTTAATTTTTATGTTTCACATCATCGAATTGTTTTATTGGTTCGAGCTTTTATGTGTTCTGTATACATTGCGTTACATTGTGATATGTTGAATATTTCATAATTGTTTTTATGCCCTAGTATAATTGTAATATGGAAGTATTTTGAATACAATTTACTAATCTGTGAACCATGTTATCATTAGATGCTACTTTGTGTTGATATGGATGGGTAGAATCGTAATATCCATAAGAGAAGGTTTGTGATAAATTGAAAAAGTGATATGAAATCAAGAAAGGTTGTTAATGCAGTCAAGCTGCTGGAAAATACTTCCATGTAAATCAAAAGATTAATAGATAGGTACTATTCTGATCATTTCCATATTGATTTCAATTTAAGAGCCACCGGTAGACAGCTGTTTCAGCCTGTTGGGCTGAATTATTTTCCAGCAGCTTGACTGCATTAAACGTTCTCGATTACATATCATTTTTAGATGGCATTCCAGGATAGCTTCCCAAATTTATGCTACCGCAGTTGTCGGTTGATTGGTCAAACCACCAACACTGACATAAAAACTTGGCAAGTTGACTTGGGTGTCACACCAATAGGTGGTTCCACTAAAGTCTCGTTTGCGTTTACGCAGTTATTTTTATAGTACTTTTCTGGGTTATTCACATTTTGTCTTCAATCGAAGACCGCTTGTCAGGTACTAACGATGCCAAACAAGCTGAAACAGCTGTGGATCCGGTGGATCTTAAATTGAAATAAATATGGAAATGATCAGAATAGTACTTATCTATTAATATATACAGGATGTTTCAAATTCGATCCTCACCATTGGGATCTCGGAAACTATGTGAGATACGAAGATGCTTAAATTGGTGCAAAGTTGCACATTTACCTGATTAACAATATGCTGTTGAGAAAGTTCTGAAATTCCGAGTATACCCGGAGATATCCGGAATATCCAGGATGTTTCAAATTCGATCCTCACCATTGGGATCTCGGAAACTATGTGAGATACGAAGATGCTTAAATTGGTGCAAAGTTGCACATTTACCAGATTAACAATATGCTGTTGAGAAAGTTCTGAAATTCCGAGTATACCCGGAGATATCCGGAAAAGACAGAAATTTTTGAAAAATGGTTTTATTTTTTTTCTGACTTTATTTTTCGAAGGATTCGAAAATAAATTGCACTTCCACATTGCCACTTTTTCCCTGCTACATAATGGTGTTTTCAGATTTGCTACCCGACGTTTCGCCTTCTGGCCACCATCATCAACTTCATTTTTTCTTATGGGCGCTACATTGGATTCTTTCTGTTTTGAATAGAACCACATTTAACCTCTTCAATGATGTATCATAAGTTATCATTCTTTTTTGAAAGTTGGAGATATTGAAAAAAAAAATTCTTATCATAATAGGGTTTGACTTTGATGTTTCTAAAATTGACTTTCAATTTTTCACATTCAATGACATTTTGTTATTGTACAAGTCAATAACGCTACACACACCTTATATACATCGATGGCAGCCATTTTTTTCTTTAACGAAGTAGGCATGTTTTTTTTCTTCAACGCTGCACACACCTTGTATACCATTTGATTGATGTGTTTTGAAACAACACCCTGTACACTCAAATATTATTGTTTTAATATAATTTCAAACGCACTTAAATCGCTCTCTCAAACAGCGATAACGCCACCACAAACACTAATAAGCCACTTCCTTTCCAGCTCCTTCATGGTACAACTCATCGTTCTACTTCAACAATAAAAACATCAACGACATGTTAGCAGTGAAGGACTCACTCACACGTCACAGCTTACTCCTAACCTTAATTTATGTGCCGCATTCTGTGACCACTCCCAAGAGTTGCTCTTCGCGGCCATCCACCTAGCCGTCGACCTTATCATCGACAGTATGCTCCCGCCGTTTGAGATAGATGCGGCTTAGTGCTCTTCTGACATGTTGCAACATCTTCGTTTTTTTTGTTACAACTCATTCAAAGTTTTTCCTATGGCTCTTCCGTTTTTGGTTTTTGTTTTCCAGTTGTGTGTTGTGGAATTGGCCACGATGGTAGTGCGCCCGACTCACGATCGGAAGATCGTGGGTTCGATTTCCGCCTCGACCAGATATTTTTCTCGAGAGAATTTATTTGGTTGAAGCTGGAATTATTCTGCAACCGTGTTAGGAATCACACGTTTAAAGGTAAGACCTCGTTAGTCCTTACCTCGCACAAGTTCTCAACTTTTGAGAGTTGTCGTTCGTATGGGGGCGATAGCTGATTAACGGAAAAACAGATTTTTTAAACAGTTATTAGATATTCATGAGTGAACATTATATGGCCGAAGCGAAGTCTGGTGATAACTTCTGACATAAGTTAAAGTTTTGTAAAGTGTTAATACGATCTGTTTTATTTCAGCTAGTTTGGAGGATTGTTGGGACCACACGTGTTACCACGTATCAAGCACTTTGATGAACACTTTGAGGTCGATGGGTGTTGTTCTTGTCTCTGCCATGGCATCTGCTTGTAGCGCAGCTTCTTTCGCACTTTGATCGGCTTTTTCGTTCCCACTAATGCCGATATGAGATGGAACCCATATTATACCTAACTGCTTTTGTCTTTGTTTTACGTGAAAGAGCTCACATTTGATAAGTTTAACGATGGGGTGATGGGTATATATTTTTCGTATGGACTGGTTGGAGCTCGTCAAATATCATTCCGAGAAACTTAATATTTTTTGTGAATTCGAGTACTGATTCGCCCATTTTCGGTGTACGTTCATCCTGGACTTTTTTCTTCGAGAATAGTATGCATTCAGTTTTCTCGTTGGAAAACGTAAATCCTGTCTCGTTGGAGCACTTTTGAAGGTTGTTCAAAGCATTCTGCAGTAATCGTGTCAAGGTTTCACAATTTTTTCCTTTTACAAATAGGATCAACTCGTGTGCAAATAGTCGAACTTGTATGGGCGTTTCAATGCAGGCTGCGATATCGTTGATTAGTGTTGGGTTCAATACTGAGCGTTAAGGAATTCCATTTTCTTGTGTTCTGCAACTGGGTAATTCACCCAAGGTGATCCTGGCAAGATTACATCCTTTGGTTTCGTCCAATCTCTTTAAAATACTCCGTTGGGTCTCACCTGAAAGAGTCTACTGGATAGGAAGTTGGAAACAAAGTGGAAAGTGTTGCCTTTATATCCCAAGTAATATAAGCTGCAAGCTGTATCAAAAGCCTTATTCAAGTCTAAAAATATAACGATACATTTTGGTTTATTTATAAATGACCTATGGATTTCAGTTTTGAGATCCCCGATATTGTCTAAACAGATCTTTGTCCTCTAAACCCGCTCTGTTCAGATATTATTTGGTTATTTTTTTCCAGGCTTCATGTAAGTCTTTTATTAATTATTTTCTTTAGGAGTTTGCATAAAGAACATGTTAAGGAAATCGGTCTATAGGAATTTGCTTTTAGTGGGTTTTTATTTTGTTTTTTGATAGGGATGACAATGGCACGTTTCCAAATATCTATTTCATCGTCTTGGTGAGCAATAAGGGGTGTTGCTTCCTCTTTTTTTTTTCTTACTAGAGTATTCACACTATCTGTCCGCTAGATGTTCTGCTATTTCCTCGCTGGATGTGATGATATTTCTGTTGTTTTTAAGGCCTTTACTGAATGATGCGTTTTGATCCCTGAAATGCTCCTTACTTCCTTACTATTTTCCATACAGATGTCATTGTGGTGTTACTGTTTATATTTTGAGCGTACCGTTTCCATGACTCTTGTGTGATCTAGTTTGTAATATAGCGAGCTTGAGCCCTCGTCTTCTTGAATTCAAGAAATGACTCTTCTGTTTTGAGCCTTTTATGGCGGTTTACAGCAGTTTTATTCGCTTTTATGGCATTCTTACACTCTTCGTTCCACCACGGTACAGACTTATGTTGCTTCGTAATGGTAGTTTTACCAACAACTTTTTTCGCAGCATTCAGTATTACTTTGTTAAAAGATTCCAAAGTTGCGTCATAGTCTTCTTCAACACTGACCTCGGTTATGTTGTTTTAGATGATATTCGAGAAGGTTATCCATTCTGCTGTTTTTATTTTCCATTTTGAGAGGGGTTTGGTATGATTTTACAATTTTGTGATATGAATTGATGATTAAAGGAAAGTGATCGCTTCCTCATAAGTCGTCAAGAACATTCCATTGCAATTGGGCTTTTAGGAGTGGATCACATAG